AAAGGCTGGCTGGGATTCAGCTATGTGTTTTTTACGACGTGTTTCTGGAAAGTGTTGATTGCTAATGCAGCCAGTGAAGTCCATCCCAAAGGTCGGTCTGCCAAGAAGAGGAATCCAAGAAACAGCCCGGGGCTTTCTCAGCGTGGTCCCCAGAGATCCCTAGGTCAACCTGTCCCGTGAAGGAGAAGCCTGATCCTGGGGCTGGCTGGGTTCTGTCCTGATGTCAGCTGTCACTGGCTGCCGTAACAGAAGCCGGCACCACTGCACTACAGAGGTGTGTGTCTTGCTGAGGTGCCCTGTCCCCTGTAGCAGCCAGGACAGCATCTTAGTCTCCGTGTCTTCATGCTAAGCTGAGGACAATGGGCCTCCCTAGTGTGGGACATTCTGTTCCCACCAGGAGCATTTAGGACTTCCTCATAAATGCCTCCGGCGTCCCATCTTCTCATGTTCCAGTGGTCACAGCAGGCCCTAGGCGAGAGGTCCCACCCATGGCAGAGATCCTGCTCTACTCACAGGGGAGTGGGTGTCTTAGTCACTGTTTAGTTGCTAGAACAAAATGTCAGACATCTGCAAGTTAAAGGAGGAGCCGTTAACATCGGCTGGCGGTTTCAGAGGATTCGGTCCACACTGGCCCCAAGGCAGGACCATGATGGTGGAAGGGCCTGGTGGAGGAGAGCTGCTCACCTCATGGCCGCCGGGCAGGAGAGAGGGGAGGGAGGAGCCAGGGACAGGGCATGGCCTTCCAGCGCGCACCTCCAGGGACACCTCTATCCCACGAGACTTTTGGAGACATTTTAGATTTAAACCGTAATAGTGGGCAAGGACTAGCAGGGGCTTGTGCAGCATGAGTGGAGAATTAATGTAGACGGTTGTACAAACTCACCTGTCCTTTCTAGGAAGGAGGTAGTTAAGAAAAAAAGAGACTGGAGAAAGGGCTGGTGGGCCTTTCTGAGGCCTTAGGGACGGAAAGGAGGGCCCGCCTGGAGCTGTGCTGACAGAGGGGTCTGATCCACTTCCGAGGTCAACGTGAACCCAGGACCAGGATGCCCAGGCCTGCCCGCAGCAGGCAAAAGGAACCTGGTAAAGTGACCTCTGCACAGGAAGTCTCCAGGCCAGTGTCCAGTGCTCCTCTGCAGCCCCTGGTCAACCCAGCCCCGGTCACCGTGTCATCGTACAGATCCCATCCCAGGCTCTGGGCACCATGACGGCTCCTCCCGGGCCAACAGCACTGAGAGCACCGCCGCCCACGGGGGCCGAGTCCTGCCCTGAACTCTTCTTCTGCCGCCCCCCAGTGTTCCTGTCTCTGCTGACAGATCCCTTCCCCTGTGCTTGCCCTGGATGTCCCGCTCTGTTCTTCGTCTTGGACGTCAGGAGCTGGAGACGACCCAGCCCAGGAGCACGCTAGCAGGAGTGGGCTTGATTAGAAACAGAAAAGACGAGGAAACGAGGAGAGGGTCCTCCAGGCCCACGTCACACTAGGCGTCTGGGAGTAAGGACAGCTGGACCCGGGTCCGGGGTGGGAGGCCACGGCCAGGCCGGGACCAGCAGGGCGCTGTGGGGACGTCACAGCGGCCACAGTGGCGACTCCACCCCTGCAGCTCCCTGGGTGCCTTCTCATCAGGCAGCCCACACCTGTGTGACCACTGCCCCCACTGTCCACTCAGAGGGTGTCGTCCAGGTCCTTTGCCACTGGAAGCGCCCATGCGGACTGCATCCCGCAGGAGTGAGAGCAGCAGAAGCCGTCACAGAAAACCTGGTGTCCAACTCCTTCACCTGCATTCTGCTGGAGCCAAAGTGAGTGAAGGGGGGGGGAGGGGTTGGGGAGGCCTGGAGAGAGAGGAAGAGACCAAGAGGGAGAGCGTGATCCCAGGCCTGCAAGAGTCCTTAAGGCTGCAGGGAGACGTGGTCCCATGACCTGTCTGTCCTTGCTCGATCCCCTTTGTGAGGGGACTGTCTGCTTGGGGGAAGGGATCTCATCGTGTGTGGTCTGCAGGGCTTTGCTTGTTTGGATTTATGTATTTATCTTGTTTTTTTTTTTTTTTTTTTTTTTTTTTTTTTTTTTTTTTTTTTTTTTTTTTTTTTTTTTTTTTTTGGCAGGGGAGGTACTGAGGATCGAACTCAGGACCTTGCGCTTTTTTGGTACTGAGGATTAAACCTAAGGCCTTTGTACTGAACTTCATCCCCAGTCTTTTAACATTTTTTATTCTAAGACAGAATCTTGCTAGGTCATTAAGTTGCCCAGGCTGGGCTTGAACTTATGATCCTCCTGCCTTAGCCTCCCAGAGTGCTGGCTGCCATCCCTGGTTGGATTACTCTTACCTTAGTGTCCTCAGCCTTGCAGAGGAATGGGACGGCTTAGATACACTTAGGACTGGAAAAACAATTTTTTTTTTGTAAAACTTTTCTAAACAATGCACATCCTGAGCAGAGCTGAACAGAGTTCTGTCCTGAAGTTTTAGGCGAGTAAAACAGAAAGTTGAGTTTCCTGGTGCATCTTAATTTCCTGGGTCCAGCCTCAGAAGGTGGTGGCATTTGGGAGCGAGGGGCTGTGGCAGGGACTGTCGCAGACCCGAGCTCATAAATAAGCACGTGTTCATCTGAAAATGTCTCGAAAGCCCAGAAGAAATGCGCAGACTACTTTGAGAACTGGCTGGTGTCTACCACGAGACATCTTTTGAAGTTCGTCCTCCACCTTTACACAAACAAACAATTTTAAAAAGAGCCAAGTGTCTTGTAGGATAAGAAGAATTCTTTGACAGCGATTGGATTCCTCCCTGTAGGAAACACTGCAGAGGGACTGATGTTCTCTCCCGATCTCCTGCGTCTTCCCTGATGGACAGAACCCAGTTCAGGCTGCTCATTATAAACTTAACTGTGGAGGAGAAAAGGGGAAGGAAAAATGAAGTCAGACCCAAGATGTGGTCTGCTTCAGCACAACAGCTGGTGAAAGTGGAGAGAAGCCTCGGGCGGGGCCCTGGGTGGGCTGGGTCCAGAACCCCTGGGACACCCAGGACCAGGGACAGAAGTTATGGTTTCTGTTCTGGTGAGAGAGGCCAGTTCCCTTGCGCCTTGCCTTCTCAGCACCTGGTATGGTTCCCAGGGACGTGGCAGGCATCCGAGGAGCAAATGCATTTAACAGCCAGGCCTGGCGATGCTTGCGTGTAATCCCAGCACTCTAGGAGGCTGAGGCAGGAGGATCCCGAGGTGGAGCCCAGCCTGGACAACTTAGCAAGAGCCTGCTTCACTTTTCTTCCTGGTGCGGATCTGGACTATCGCCTATTTGTGCTTCTTTGCTTCTTGGGTGCGGGTCTGTCTCCCTGAGAGGAGGGTCACCTCCCCACAGCTGGTCCTGCTGCAGGCTGGGTCTGCTCTGGCCCACACTGGGGCCCTGGCTGGTGTTTGGGTCGCAGGAATCCAGTCCAGGACAGTCTCTTCCAGCTCATAGGTTGCCAGGGCACCTGGCAGTGGTGCCAGCTTCCAGTCGAGGCGGGTTTGTTGATTGCCTGCTAGGTGGTGGCAGGTACTTGTTCTGGGACCTTCCTATCAGCCCAGCCCTGCACTTGTTCTCAGGATGTTCTCCCCCTGGAGTGCCAGAGAAGAGAGGTGGCCATGGCACCCACAGGGAGGGCTGCTCCCACGGCGGATGCAGGGGGCTGCAGCCCCAATCTGGTCTGCCCTTTGCTCCTCTGTGAAGTCCCCCGGGCTGCACAGTCCCATGAGGGTTGGGGCTTCAGGCTGTGCATTCTGGGGACACAGTTCCAGGCCTCTCGGTTACCAAGCAACGGGGTACCTGCTGCGCCAGGGAGCATGGGGCTCCAGGTGAGCCCAGAGGCAGGTGACTCAAAGGCAGCCGGAGTGGAGTATGGGACGGAGGGGGAAACTGAGTCAGCCAAGGAGCCCTGGCACAGGGCAGTAGCTGGGCTGGGAGGAAGCTGGGGAGTGGGCGGGCCTGGAAGTCTACCTGGGCGAAGGTGCTGCCATTTGTTCTTCATGCCTGAGCATCCTGGTGTGCGATGGGCAGTGTCCAGGCTCCTGGGAGGGCACCTGGCACCCCGGTTCCTGCAGTTCCATAAGGAGGCTGCACAACGCACTGTGTTGTCCTGTGGGAACCCCAGCTTCTCCCACCTGTCTTCCTTTTCTTTGTAAACAGAGAAATCTCCAAAGTGGAGACTCTCCAGCAGGCCCTTGTTCCACAGCGGAGCATCCATCATTTTTATTTCATGGGGTGAGTGTCACCGAAGGAAGCCTCCTCACCGTTGGCCCTGTCCTTTTGTCCCATCCACAATCGGATCTGGCAGCCACACGTGTTTATTCCAACCTCATAATTAAAGAAGAATGTTAAGTGTGCGACTCAATTCTATTCCAAATGTTAGAAAGATCTGGAACAATGCAGCCCTTTGGGAAAAGCTTAGAGGAGAAAAAAACACATTTACAAATAAGAAATTTGGAAATAACAGAACATCTTAGTTTGGAACACATGCAGTTTTCCTAGACTGTCTTTTACTTTTTTCTTTTCAAATAGAGATCCTTCAAAAAATCAACAAAAAGAGGTCAATTGTAGGAACACTTTCAGAATATACATTAGAAACCAACAAAGGAAAACATCTGGAGATGAGGGATAGGAAGAGAAAGCATCTGTATCGGAATCATTTTAAAGAGTGACTGATGCATAAATATAAAAATATAACCATGTCCAATTACAGAATTCTTCAGAGACAGGAAGATTTGTGGCCATCTGGTCTACCAGCATCATCTTTTCAAGTTCTGAAACAACCCCAGGGGGTTCTGCATCCTAGAACTGCAGAGAAGGAAGCTCAGGAATCCTCCTGGATCGTGGGGTATACTTTGGAATCTCAGTCCCTCTCTGGGGATTGAACCCAGGCCCTTTATGCTGAGCTACCAGTCCCTTTTCTACTTTTTATTTTAAGACGAGGTCTCTCTAAGTCATGAAGTTGCCCAGGCTGGGCTGAAACTTTCGATCCTCCTGCCTCAGCCTCCCAGAGTGCTGCAAATTGCAACAGGGCCTCCTGGTCTGACTACAAATAGCAGTGTGGAGCATAAAAGTGACTAGGACTCCCCCGTCCCCTTGAAATGGCCTAGGCAAATGGCCCACACAGGGACAGAGGCACAGTGTAGAACAGGGAAGTGAGTGCTGATGGTTAGGGTCTGGGACCTCGAGCCTTCTCTCCTGGCCACCTTGCACTATGCAGGACAAAGAGCACTGTCCCAGATCTACAGGACTGGAGCTGTATCAGGGGTGGGGAGGACCTGCAGCCAGAACTCAGATGCCACAGGTCCAGTGACTTCGTGCCATTAAGGCAAGGTATGTGTGGCTAGGGTCGGGTATCCAGGGGAAGCGCTTGGGATTCACTCAGGAGATGGTAGACCACACTTCTGGGTGGTGTCTGGGTGGTCATGGAAGTGTGACCCTGGGTACCAAGTCTGGTCTCTGACTACTTCTCTGGTGCTTTCCCCTGCTCTGCTTCCTGGCCACCATTAACCACGTATCTTGTTCCTCCATTCCCTTCTGCTATGATGGCTCTGCTCTGGAGCCAGCCAGCCAGGGACTGATGCACTGAAACCATAAGCCAAATTAAACCTCTCCTTTAAGTTGTGGGTGGCAGGCACTGTGTCCCAGTGATGACAAAGCCAGTTGATACAAGGGATCTCCACATTTGCCCTTGGGTGCCTTCCTGGGTTCCCCCATCTCTGTGGACAGGGATCAAATCAGGCTGAATTCCTGACAGCCCAATCCACGGGGCTTTGTGTTGTCATTTCTGATGCCTGGCTGCATGTGATCCTTTTCGCACACTGCAGATGCCACTGCTGGTCACCCGCTTTAGTCGAGACTCCTCTCCTTGCTGGCTGTCATTCACCACAGTTCCTGAGAGGCACCCTGCTCTGTGCCCCAAAGGAGACTGCACTTCGCTGGGGAGGTGTGAGATTGTTCCCAAGTGGTTGATCTTTAGAAGCGTCGGCACACTCCTTCTCTAGGGTAAGGAGATTGACTTTGGGGGGAAAAGGGTAGCATCAGTTATATCTCCACACATTTGGATCACTTTGTCACTTGCTGTGGAAGAGTCTTCTAGGAGTCTGATGGGAATTAGATTGAATCTACAGATTGTTATTGAGTGTTGTCATCTTTATGAATATTCAGTCTTCCATGAACATTGGATGTCTTTCTGCTTATTTATTTATTTTTATCTTATTTAGCTTATTGGTACTTTTAAAGTATACAATACAGGTACATTCATCATTGGGATCTTGTACATCTTTCTGTTTATTTAGGTATTTCATTTCCTTTAACAATATTTTGTAGTTTTCAATGTGTTAAGTTTATTCCTAATGTATTATTTGTTTGGATGCAATTATTAAATTAAATTATTAACTTCATTTTCAGACTACTTATTGTTAGCATATATAAATATAGGAACATTTTTTTTTTTTTGGTACCAGGGATTGAACTCAGGCTCTTGTGCTTGTGAGGCAGGTGGCGAAATCACTGAGCCAAATCACTGGCTGTTAGCATATAAATAAATTGACTTTTTCATATTGATCTTGTATCCTGAAACCTTTGTAAGCTAGTTTAATGTAGCAGTTCAAAAATTTTTTTATAAAGTTCTTAGACTATTTTTACATATTTGGGGACATTTTAAAAAAATCAATATCTTTATTAAATGTATTACTTGGGTTATTTCTTTCTGAGTGGGTTCTGGTAGTGTATGTTATTCCAGAAATCAGTGTCTTGCATTTTATCTACATATATGTGATAAATACATAGGCAAGGAGCTGATCTTCCTATTACATTGTTAGCCTTTTTCTGGTGATTGATCTTCTCTTTCATCTATGCTATCAATAATTTGTACCTTTACTTCTTTGTTGGTCTTCTTAGATTTTATTGATCTTTTCAAAGAAGAATCAGCTTTATTTAGTTTCACCGGCTTCCTATTGCTTACTAGTTTTTTGGTTTTTTTTTTTTTGGTACCGGAGATCGAACTCAGGTCCTTGTTCTTGCAAGGCAGGCGCCAGAACCACTGAGCTAAATCTCCGGCCCTTGCTTACTAGTTTTAATTTCATGGTCATTGCTCTTATTTCCTTCCCTGTGTTTGATTTGGTACTGTTTCATTTTTCCTTTTCTGGATTCTTAAGGTAGATGCTTAAATTACATCTTTGATACTGTTCTTGTTTTTCTGTATAAGGATTTACTGCTACAGATTTCCTGTATTTTTGTTGTGTACAACAACTATTTTTATGTTGTAGTTTCATTATATTTGAAACCCTTTCTATTTTCCCTGGAAACTTCTGTTTTGGCCACTCCATTATTTGGAAGTGTGTTAATTTCTAAATATTTAGGGATTATTTTTCAGGTTCTCTTTGTTTTTTTGATTTCTAAATTGATTCCATTTTGTTAGGGAACATTATTTGTATGATTCAAATCTATCACACTTGCTAATGTTTGTGTTATAGGGCTGGATAAGTTCTGTAATAGTGAATATTCCAAGGGCTCCTGGAATAAATATCCTGTTATTGTGAAGCAAATTGTCTTATAAATGTCAATTAAATCAAGTTTATGGATAATGTTTTTCAAATCTTTTATTCCTTGCTGTTTTTCTCCCTAATGTTTTCACTGATAACTAAGAAAACAATGTTGAAGTCTCCAAGTTTAATTGTGGATCTGCAAATTTCTTTTTTCAGGTCTATCACTTTTTACTTCATGTATTTTGAGCCTATTGTGAGGTATGTCTGCATTTCAGATTATTATATCTATGCAGAAGATGAAACATAAACAGGAGACTTCTGATGATGTGTATCTTTTTTCTAAGCCATTTATTTTACTATTTCCTTTTCTTACATGCCAGACTCTCCAAAACTTCAGTCTTCCGCTTTCCACCTTCTGAATTAGGAAGCTTAATGTCGCCCATAGTGATGTTCCAGGTGATGTTGTCTTCTTCTCCATAGGACTCTATAAACTGTCCTTGTGAACTCTTCTGTTACCCTAAAGCCTCATGAGCTCAGGCTTTTGGGTGGTGACTTGATCATGAGTTATCTGCTGATGGGTTTATAACTGTGTGTGATATTGTGAGGTAAAGCCTGGTGGGGAAAGGTGGGTCACTGTGGGTGTGACCTGGAAAGGTCTATCTCCCTCCTCTTCTCTTGATCCCTTGCTGTTTCCTGCCTGCCATGCCATGGACTGTTTCTCCTCTGTCACGCTGTCCTGCCTTGGAGTCAACCTACTACAGACTGAAACCTCACAAACTGTGAGATGCGAGAAGACTATGCTCGTGGCTATGCCTCTGCCCTTAGGACATGTGAGGTTTGAATGGTAAACCTCAGTAGGATTCTCATGTCCTAGCAGGTCACCTGGAGCACAAAATTTGTGGAAAACCAGGTGAATGCCCTCTGCTGGGACTGGTGACCTGAAGTCTGTATTGAGAAGCTCCTAAGGCCCTAATCTTGTCCAGGGGAAATCAATGGGCAATGTCTGTCACAGGCAAAAGAAGGGAGAGAGGGCAGGAGTGCAGCCACCCATGACAGAGTGAGTATTGGGTTAGTTGCCGCAGCCCGAAAACTGTTCCCAAACCATACCCATCCTGCAGCCAGTGCAGATGAAAGAAGAGGTAAAAAAAGGGAAAATAAGTCAGGACTTGTCATATAACATACAAGCTCTATATACTTACCTTGTGTTCTGCTTCTGTGTAAATTCACATGAGGAGGATTTTTCTGTATGTTTTATAAATTCTTGAAGGACTTCTATGTAGACAATTCTGTCATCTACAAATCTGCAAACGGTGATAGGTTGACTCCTGCTTTCCAATTTCCATGCTTTTTATAAAAATAAAAAACAATCTAACTATGAGCTTTATTTGCATTCTACCATTTTCCTTTTAAACCAGAACTGCTCTTTTGTGTTTCTAGGATCTGGTTTATATTTCATCATCACATCTCCTCCAGTGTGTGATGGTTTTGAGTACTGGTCTGGGGCTTTTTGCAGTGTCCCTCCAGCTGAGCTTGTCTGACATTTTGTCAGGATTAATGAGGACAGGGTGTTTAGAAAGAACATTCTGGACACAGGTGTCCTTTTCCTCCCGTTGTGTCAAGAGTGCCTGGTATAGCACCAATCAGGGCAGGTGACCTTGGTTAAGGTGCATTTATGCCTTTCCTCACAAATTTACTACTTTCCCCTTTCCCACTCCATTAGTATTGGATTCCTAGGTCCAGCCCACACTCACAGGGAAGGAAACTAAACAACAGCGCTTGGAGGGGAAGCGTGGAATTCCTATTTGAGATTCTTTTGCTTGTGACGCTTTCATTTCCTCTGCTTGTCGGTTTTCACAGCTGAGACAGATGAGAAAAGGGAGGAGCAGGGCTGGCGGGCCAGCAGCTGGCGGAGGAGGAGGAGGAGGAG